GTCTACTCTTAATAAGTCAAATCAAAAAAGGGGAGTAAAGTTGTAAGAAAAAAATGTAACTCTTTTACATATTATAATTAAAATGTAAATTTTTTATATATTTAGACACTAAACTTAAATTTGGGGTGGGAAGGGTATAGTATTTGGATGATAATAAAGTGAGATATAAATCTATTAGGCAAGATTGTGAATTTGAAGCACATGAATTTATTACCCAAAATGTGCCTGGCATTAAAAATGCACTCGAACACTACCTTTTAAAACAAGTACCCTAAATAATTGTCTTCAGAGATGCTCTTTGCAAGAAGTCAGAATGCTGTGTGACCCTACAAACTTCGACTTTCTGTTGATTCACCTAACCAAATGTATGGATCTACTAATGGGGCTGTAAGTGAAAGTTGACTTTCTAAAATTTTTATCCAGGATATTAAAGATTGTATATCTGCAATTTGAACTGTGGAGGGAGCCAATCTAATTTCACAACTAAAGTATAAAAGTGAAAGAAACAGTAACAGTTGAGTCAAAGTCAGTTCTGGTTGGCAGAGTGCTGAGCTATATAATGTGAATGGAAAGCTCTGAGTACAACAAAAGGCTGATGTCATTTCTGCCACTGACATAAAGGGTGGGAGGGAGGCAGGACAGTCGATGGCATGACACCTGTGATCATCATGCGGACAGTGAGAAGACTTAAGGGAAACTGTAACTTTAGAGACAATAGGATGTTTCTATCTTGCCATTCATTTTAATAGTAATTTCCTGGGCAAAATGCTTATAGAGACTCTCAGCTTGGGGGGACTAAGCAAAGATTGGTCTTGTGGTATCTCTCAGCAGGCCGACTCAAGCATCATACAAATAAAGATATGTGATGCTTTGACAATGCTCTTCTGTCTCAGGGCCTTCAAAATCTCTAAAAAAAAAAATCAGGCTTGGAATTTTCCTCCAATTAAGGAACTGACAGAACTGATTTTACAGTTATTCAGGGCCACAGAACGCTTAAGCACATCTAGAAGCTTGTGGTTTTCTCTAGCACTGGACTCTAGTGCATCAAGCAACAGGATAATAGTCATCTAATGAACAAGGAGCTCCAAACAAAAACTGTTTGTCTAGTTTAGCTACACAATGGTTAGCGACATGCATGTCTGTGGATTCTCTAACAATCTTATGTATCTTCTCTTTGAACCCTCAAATAATTTGTCTTAGTTGTATTAAATTAGTTATCTTTTCACTCTGAGGAACAGCCATGGGTAGGTAATTGGAAAATGAAAAAAAAACTGACTCAATATAAGCAAAACTAATTATTTTTGTATTCCTACCTGTCTTTTTTTTCTGATTTGGTTATTTATTTGTTTTATTAATTAGAAACTTCAGGCAGGGAAATTTTTTATCTGCCTAATACATTAATTTGTTTTAACTGAACTGTAATTATAGTGCAATGTCATTTTTTTTAGCAGGTCAACTGACTCTTAGGTGGGGAGAAAGAAGAATAGAATAGCCCAAGGTAGGAAATGTAGAGTAGTCTGATTACTCTAATGCCTCAAAGAAACATTCTCCTGATTGGAATCTAGACTGTATTAGATAGACCTTGTTGTTACCAATAACATGTGTCTCTGTCACTGGACACGTACTGTATTGCCACTTCCTGTTGACTTGTCTACACCCACCCTCACGGGATCTTTGGAGTGCTTGGTACAATATATGCTTCTTGAATGGACAAACGAATCAGTCAATCAAGGAAGAAATGAGTTGACAATTAAAAGGGCTCATCAATTTGGAAAAGAAGTTTTGGCTAATGATAGATATGTGACTCTTGTCTCTGTTTAATTTATATTCTTTAATAAACTTTAGTTCATGTTTACCCACCAATAAATAGAGGAACAGAAGAGATTAAGATCTGTGCATTTGCTGTTGTACTATATTGAAAACAAAAATAGCAATATTGTTTTTTTTTCTTTAATATACTTTGACAGCTAGCGATACTGAGAACATCTGTTTAAATTACTGTGTGTGATATTGATTTCTTCACATTTATTTTCATTATGATACCTTCTCAAGTCCCATGCAATTTTGAGAATTACTCTGAATATTACATCTACAATGCTGAGATTCGTGATGGTGATTTATAGTTTCATCTACTATAAGTTTAGGTGTTCTAGTGGGAAAAGGACCCTTGTTTGATAAATAAGAATCTTACAAGTTGTGCTTGTTTAAATGTGGAAATACCTTGTTTAAAAGGAAATTAATCAAATTGTTTTGTAAACTTGAATAATTGTAGGCATCCTTGGCAATGCTCAATTTCTCTTATGAGTGATTTTATTTCAATATAAGTCATTTGATGCTTATTAAAAATAGGTGACAAATCCTAAATATAAATGAACTGATAATTCTGGCTTTTTAATATTAAAGCAATGATTCTCTTAATTTATTGTCAACTAGATGCAACGTATCAAAAATGTAGTCTTACCCCTAACTTCAAAGTATGTTAATAAGGACTCATATATAATGAAAGATTAATTTATGTTTCAAATATAAATTAACTCACACTTCTAAACATGAGTTCTAGCTACATCACTTTGCTTTTATGGGAGACATGCTCTTTGTAAGTTCTCCACTGAAACCATAAAGGTAGAGGTGCCAAGGTCACTTTTTATCTTGAAAGTGTCCTTTTAAATACTTATGAAGAAACCATTCTAAAATTTAAACAGCTGATGCATAAATATATATTGGGATAAGGAAATCACATGAATCTCAAAAAAAGTAACTTAGAAACAACATAAATAGGCTCATTGAAGGAGAATTAGAACATAGCTATGTGTATGCAGAAGGGATCTAATAAATCAGTTGAAATGATGGCAGCAATACTAGATATAATTTTAATTGGGTAGAACATGGAGCTTAGTTGAGAAGAAATAGTTGAAGGAATAAGGTATTTGCCAAACATATCCTGACATTTTTGAGTAAAAAAGACAAACAGGTATAAAAGAAAAAAGTCTATTTACTTTTCTTAGAGTAGGTTTTTACTTATAATAAATACATCAGCTTTTTTGAAAAACTAAAATGATCTTGTTAAGGAATTACTGTTAGGGGCCTTGTTTATATTTCATACTTTTCCTTAATTTTTAAAAATTGATTGACTTTTTTTGTTGACGTAGTTTTTGGTTAACAGAAAAATTAATCAGCTAAGTACAGGGTTATGATCCTGAATCATTGACATATCCCAATCTTTTCTTCATCTTGCTGAAGGTACCCTGAAGAATTACATCACTGCCCTTAACCCATTATGTTGATTCACATTCTTAGAAGGGGTTTATAGATATATGATATGCTATTTCTTTAAAAATGGGGAATCGTTCTAGCTTGATAATGGTTAATATTCTAGGTACTTAATTGTGATGAACATTTCCTGTATGTCTTAGATTCCTCTCACCTTCCACCCCCTTTTATCAGCAAAATGTACTACCTCAGGGTGTGGGAGAATGCAACTGGACTGCTGCCTGGATTTTCAAACTCATAGCAGAAATTGTACCTTGGACTGCCAAAGCATTCATTTGTACAAGCCAAGCTTTGGGGGAGAATAAAATCAAAAGGAAAAATTATAAAAAGCAGTGTGTCAGATTTGTGTTCCAAACAGGAAATTGGAAACACAATGCAAGATGATATAAGAGCTAACTTTTATTTGTAGTAGATAATATCAGACCAGTATGATACTTCCATTTACTATGAGAGAGTTTTTCACTACATAGGGCTCCATGGCTCTGTCAGCTCAAATATACAAGCTTCCTGGTACTGTTTATACCCACAATATAATCCTCTCTTCTGGAGTTCGGATTAACATTGCCAAGAAAAAGGCATGGAGAATCTTAAATTTGTCTAAATATTCACTTCAAAAAGAAAGTGTTAAAAAGATTCAACTCTAGTAAATATGAAATCCATACCTACTAAATGAAAACTGTGTCCTCTGGATAGAAATTTCAAGATCTAAAAGTATACTTTTGAAGTATAGTAGGATTTTTAAAAAGAAATACACAGTTACAAATTTGGTAACTTTTCTTCCTATATTTTCCATTTATTCTACATCAGACCATGAGTTTTTTATACTAATAGAAATATGTATGTACAAAAAGAAATGTTCCCATGAAGTAAACTGATGTGAATGAAGGAGAAAATCTAGGAGACATAGTAGTAATGTCTAGCTTGAATGTTAGAGTCGCCTAGTCAGAACTGATCCCAGACTCCACCACCTACCAGCAACTCTAGGTTTCCTCATCAGTCATATGTAAACACCAGTTACCTTGCCGCATTGTATGAGGCATAAGTGACAAAGTAGATATACAGTACTTAGACTAAAGTCCAACACACAACATTCAATCTTTTTATTCTTCACATCATTGTTCCTATAATTTATTTTATGAATTGTAATATGTAGAACTTAACATCTTAGGTTCTTTTCTATGATTCTTAGGATCAGAATCATCAAGCAATGTAAATTAATGATGGTCTATGTTGAGACTTTTTCACTACAAACATAATTTCATGACTCTTAAATGGACAAAACTTACATTCATTCCATAGGCTATGAGTTTCCATCATTTATTTATATAGACAAATTCTATCACCAGTCACTCTTTCCAATTGCCATTGCCTCAGTAGAAAATGGTCCTGAAAAAAGATCTAAGTAGTTTTCATAGCTCTTTTGTGAACTTCAGATGGAACTGATTCATGTTTTCGATTAATCCATTAAATAAATGGCCCATGAAGATATGTATGAGTAGATAATCAATTGATGAAAGCAAATAATCCTATTGAAACATTTGTTATTTATTTTTTTGATACTTCTCTTTTAAATAGACTGATTACTTCACTTTCTGACTTTATCTTTCAAAGCACACACTGCTCTGTTCTTTGTCATTGTTGCATGACATTTCATTTGGCAGTTAGCTTATTTTTAGCCAGACTATCAAAATATTTCAATTGGACTGTCATTGCACTTGAATTTGGAATCCTGTAACCTTAAGAACTGAACTGGAGAAAAGAAGAAACTTCTAACAAATGGGAAATTATAAATCTAGACCAACCCAAACTTGTACTGGTAATTATTCTTATTTTCTTACTGATGATAAACAATTCATTGGAATGTGTGTTAATTTGTATACCGAGAATAAGGAGCATATTATATGAAAGTGTTAGGAAAATGCTTTGAACTAAATTTTCCTCTTTAATATCCTTGTAGGAAACAGAACATTTCCTAGAAGAATATTATTTTTGTGCCTTGGTATAATTCTATAGAAAAAAAACTGAAATTCTTCTGAATATAGAAATTTTAGAATTATACCTCAAGCATTTATTATTTAAAACTAAAAGCTTCTCCAAGACTAGAGATTGCTATAATTAAAATGCAATAGAGTCAAATGAAATAAGTCAAATATATTTTTTCTTGTGGTTATATTATACAATACCTAATGGGTTCTTAATTACTGAAATATAATTGCATTTTAAAGATAAACATATGCATTTTAAACTCACAATCAGTAATTTAAATTATAGAATCTAGAATAAGAAACAGAGATTTGATTACTTGTATGATCTGTGTCTAAATTTTTCAGAACACAGCTATGAATCAACACAGCTATGAATTTGTTTTTCTTTGCTAGATGAATGGAAGAAGAAAGTCAGTGAATCTTATGTTATTATAATCGAAAGATTAGAGGATGACCTGCAGATCAAGGAGAAAGAACTTACAGAACTAAGACATATATTTGGGTAAAGTTATCAGAGTTACTATTTGCTTATATAAGTGTCTTTGTTATCTTATTTGTAGATATATCTTTATATCTTAAAAAAAATTAGTCATGTTCTAAGCTTTAGAATGTCAGATTATCTCTTCTTGATCACACAGATAGTCCTCAAAATGTATGTTTTAAGAATAGGACTTGCGTTCTCTCATGGCTAAAGTTTAAAAACAGAGGAGCCTAGAGGCTACTAGCCTTTTAATGTAAGCTGTTGCTTATCTAAATAATCTTTTCTAGAACTGGATTATTCATGTAAACCATGCCAGCAATATCCAGCAATCATCTCTTCCCAAATGGTGGTAGCAAACTGGCCATATTGTTCTCTTTGAATTTCTAGGGTAAATCCAATTTTAAGAAACCCTCTGGTCTCTTGACATTGAAAGGCTGTCCCTTAATGGAACCGAGTGTGATTCTGCTCCTGAACAATCATATAACAACACGTAATATTGGCTTCGGGCTTTTAGCGGGTTTCATTCCATGATAACAAGAGAAAAATTGTCTAGGATAGTGTCACAACCTTGGAAGACACAAAATGCTCAAAAAAGAAGAGCAAGACCCTTGTATACACAAACAACCTTCTGAAGAAATTGAATCTAACACTGAAAAACTAAGTTCACTTTGAGGGTCAGTGAAGTTAGCTGCCTAAGGAAAAGTTCTGTAGAAGACAATTAACCATGTTCACTTCCAGCTATGTTATTCTTGTAACACACTCATGGCAACAACTGCCTCTGTTTTAGAATCAAGTGTCAATCAGCAACCAAATGACATTATATTTTTCATAAGTAATTTTAGATATAGTAAACATGAATCTCACATGACTGGCAAATAAAATCATCAATGTATCATGTAGTTTATGTGAAATTTGTCAAAGGATTTAATAAGGCTTTTACAAGTGTTCAATTTAAGGTTTGTGAAATAGGTGATGCTCTTTGTTGCTTGGCCCAAAATGATGAGCTCAGCACTGACATGGCGAGACACCCCTGGGCTGACTTTCACAAGTAACTATCACGGGCTTACCTGTGGGAAAACAACTAAAATTCTTGTAGAGATGTGACTGGCACTTTAGTATTGCAAATCTATACACACATACTTGTTTTGTTGGAAAGAGATACGAATGAAGAACTTAGTCATAAGCCCTTGAACTCTTACTGACTGAAATCAATATGCTGAATGAAATGTGACTCAATTAAAGAGAGTTTCCTCAACTTTGTAAAGTCAAAGCTTCATTTTTTTTTAAATTTGTAAAGTATTGTGTGGGTACGACAAGGATAGATTAAACTAGACATTCACAGTCCTAAGATTTGGCTTAACAATGGATTTAAGATGTAGCATTTTTTCTCATACCACATCAACAACTACCGGCTGTTTTGACAACCCCTGTGATTGCTGACGTTCTACATTTCTACTAATTACAACAAACACAACCTTCCTTTTGCTGATTGGCACTAGGGGTGGGAAGCAGGGATCAGTGTCAGAGACCTTACAGTCCAGGATTTGTCACATTCCAGCTATGATATTCAAGATGTTATATAGGAGATTTAAGTATCACCATAGCTCTGTGTCATGGATGATATTAATTTTTGTGGCCAATAACTATTAGAGAAAAGACATTGTGAACTGTCTAGCTCATATGGTCAGTAAATGCTGGGGTGGGATTTGTAGCAACACCTCCCTGACTTTGTAGATAGAGCTCTTCCTACTGTAGCCTGCTTCTCGTTCCAGAAGTTCACAATTTGGTTGCAAAGGACTCATTTATATAAATAACAGTCACTGAAGACATGTGATGAATGGGAGGAAAACCAAAGTAGTTTCTTAATTCAAAAAGAAGATTTGGGTCTTGATTTATTCATTGATTTTGAAAAGCACTTTAGATAACAGCATTGTTAAGCAAAGGCACATAGGCAAGAATGAATGAGTACCATGGAAAGTCTAGAAGAAGCAAGAAAATAATGTACTTGATGATATTATCTAAGTGCATAAGAAAGCTTGTTGGTCAGTGGAAGAGTTTTGGAGTCATATAAATAGGGTTTAAAATGAGATTATTGTATTTATAAGCTGTATATCCTTGGATATGTTTCTTGACATCTTTGAGCCACATTCTTATCTGTAAAATAAAGTGAATGTTAACTACCTCACAGGATATATGCAAAATATTATAAATTAAGTGCTAAGTATAGTGCCCAACAAGTAGTAGGCCTTGAATAATTAGAAATTTCTATTATCATCATGATTGATGGATAAACAAGAGTAGTTTGAAAGACAGAAGACAAATGGGAGTAACAAATGGCTTAATGATTGTAGTTGAAAGACATTTGAACAATTTTGAGGTTAGAATATTATCATGGTCATCAAAATAGATGCCAAATTCTTTGAGAATAATGGTAGGGCATTTTTTTTTTTTACAAAGAAAGGACCAATAGCCTGGTGCTGAAACCATAAAGGAGGCTACAGAAATGTCCTAGCAACCGGAAGTGATGATAAGGAAACTGAGGAGAGGATTATCCCTGTCTGAAATCTTTGTTTTCCAAGAGCTAAGGACTTCCTGTGGGAGAGTAGCCTGTGGAACGTGCTGAAATTTTAGATTCCATAACTCCACCCCCTATCAAATCAATCACAGTCTGTGGGGATATCTTCTAGGAACCTGAATTTTTAATAAGCTCCGAAGATAATACTTATGCATAATAAAAAAGATAACTGCTCAAGTTTGAAAATTATTATTAGAGAAATATGTTCAAGTTGCACTGAGAACTCTTTGCCTGGGGTGATGTTGGTGAAAGGATAAGAAAGATGGGAACAGAAAATAAGCAGCTAGTGTGGTCTATAGAGATTCAAGGAAGAAAGAAGCAAATGGACAGAAATGGAGAACTCTGTTTGTGACTCCATCAAGGCAAAGAGCATCGCATGGAAAGAAAGTCAAGTGTGTCTAGGTCTAAATATTTACTGTTTTTGGAATAAAATGATGAATGACAGGAGAGAAAAGAACAGCATGGGCAGCGGCACCTGTGGCTCAAAGGAGTAGGGTGCTGGCCCATATGCCAGAGGTGGCGGGTTTAAACCCAGCCCCGGCCAAAAAACTGCAAAAAAAAAAAAAAAGAAAAGGAAAAAGAAAAGAACAGCATGCCAAGAAACATGAATTGTCTTCCTCATTGGTCCGTCCACCAGAATGTTAAAGGTAGTTGGAAAGATGAAACCGAATATTGTATAACATCACATTTAATTAAGTCTCTATACCATTTTAAGTGCTAAATAAATGTTAGACTCTCTGTATTCCTAATCTTCATTTGCTTATAGAATTTAAAGAGTACTTCTTTGGTGAACAATTGGGTTATGCTGCCTAACATCAACCTTTCTCTAAACATGTAAATAGCAAGATAACTGTATGAAATGCCCCAAAGGGACATTTAACACTAAAGTCACAGGTAAAGGATTGTTGATGTGAACACAAATTTTTTTTATTCTTTTTTCAATTGCTGACAAATGTCTGGATAGCATCCCTGATAGGTAGTAATTTCATTTATCAGAAGAGATTTTCCTCTACATGACGCACCATTACTCTGTCAGTTCAAATACACGATCTTCCTGGCATAATTTCATCCACAATATAATACAGAGTAATTAAGACAAAAAGACAAAAGAGCTAACTCATAATCTCACTTATTCCAATTAATGGCAGCTTTGAAATAGGAGATTAATGTGGGGAAGGAGAAGAATGGAAATGCCAGGTTCTTTCATCATCTTTAAAATTGGCTTTGCTCATAACTTTGGCAATTGTTGAGTAGTAGATGGGAGACTTGGAGAAATGGAGAACAAAGAAGGAAAACCAGAAGTGACATGTTAGAGTACCACTGTCTGAATGTTTCCTCCTGTGCACTCCTCTAATCTTTATTTTTTTTGTTGTGATAGCACTTTGTACACACTGTTGTCTTTATCCATTTGCAGGTCTGTCTCCCTGCTACTGTATGTGTCCACCAATTGCAGCTTTTTCTATTTTTTTTAGCCTTATTTCTATTTGTTTGTGTCTGCAATGCTTATATGTACAGCACTGGAAAGGAAAGCGAGCTAAATACTCAGTGCCTAGCAGATGCCAGGCATGCTAGCAAGTATTTGTATGTGCATTAGCTCATATGATCCCACATAATCCCAGCAGGATGTGTGTAAAATGCTGGAGCACAGTGTCTGGCACATGGTAAAAACTTAAAAATGGTAGTTAAAAACTAATCATTATAGTTTATGTTAACAACCCTCTGAAGTAGGCATCATAACTACCATTTCATACCTGAAGAAAATGAGGCTAATGAAATCACACTGACTTGAGCTGAGTTGCTCAACTTGCATAGTTGAGCTAGGGTTGTCTTAGGTTTATTTGGTTTCAAAATGATTAAACTCTATTATCTTGGTCCTCCACCTTGGGAGGATGAAAAGACACAAATCAGAATCCTCTTTGAACATTTCTCTCTTTCCTCATGACACTCAACAATTTTTCTATTTTTATGTTTTAGAAATGCCCCCGGAGGTGGGAATAGAATAATAGCCTATCAAAGAGCCACCCCCCAGGCAATACATACTACCCTTACATAATCTTTCCAAACCGATTACATGCTGACTGTCTACCTGTGGCTTTTAAAAGGCTTCCAATTGATTTATTTTGTTTCAATGTATTTTTTAAGTCATAAGAAATTTTAGAGCTATGTTTTGCTAATTGTCAAACTATTTATATGCTTAAACTATAATATGAAATTTGAAACATTATGAGGAGATTCCAGAGAAGTTTATAATTTTCAAATTTCATGATTTATCAATAAAATCCCCCCCCAAAGAAAACCTCATTTTTAATCTGTTTTTAGCATTGGGTAGACATATCTTGATCAATAATGATAATAGCTCATTTTGAAACTGGTAAGGTAAGAAATGTACAAAAATGGTCAGAGAATGCTCTTTTCCTGAGAAAGCAGTCACAGTAGTTAGAGGAAA